TGCACTGTTCATGTATTATTTCTTTCTGCTCTCTCTCTCTCTCTCACCCTTGAAGCTTTCTTTCTCCTAATCTATGTATATATTGCTCTCCCATTTCTCTGCCTCTCTCTCTCTAACTATCTATCTAGAGATAGTGAGAGAGAAAGAGAGAGAGAGAAGGAAAGAGAGGGGGGACAAAACGAAAAAGAAATACAGCGATTTGGAGAGATAAATGTAGGAAAATAACTCAGTTTGTCTATGTCTGCATATCTGTCGGCAACACACACACACACACACACACACACACACACACACACACACAAACACACTAATTAGCAATACATGGTATCACACTTCGGAGTCATGAAACTTCCACGTCACACAGCTCTTCCCAAAATCTGACCAAACATCACTTTTTGGCGGGTTATGGTGACACCAAATTGTTTTGTAACAGATAAGATGCAAAGATAAATCAGAAGACTTAAATACAATGATAAAAATGAACAGACTGAGATAAACAGATTGAAACATCGATGAATAGAATATTATATATGCAGTTAGTCCCGTAGGATTCATTGGACTGTCAGAGAAACAAAAAATGTAATATTATATAAGTATAAGAAATAATGTAATATTAACAAAAGTATAGAAATTGAATCGAATACCACTCTTATAGTACTGCGCTTTATTTTTCTTTATGACTATATATACATATATATATATATATATATATATATATATATATATATATATATATGCAAATATGTAGAAAAATAGGAAAGAACACATTAGGTAAATAATCCAGAGTTCTTTAGTATGTTTGTTTTTATCTTTAAAAAAACAGTGCTCCATACAGAAGCAGAGCTTAAATTATAATTATTTTTTTAAAAAATTATGATTCCTTCACTACATAAGAGTTCTCATGTTTCAAAAACAAGAGCCGAAAACCTCAATATAATTATTAAAATTAAATTGAATTAAAGCCTCGGCTTGACCTCTTTCTGAAGGTGACTGATATGTGGATACAAATTAACTCTTAAGCCCCTTATCAAAATGGTCGCTCCAGCCGTTTTTGTTAAAACATCAATCATATATTCAATAATAATAGTAATAATTTTTAAGACATTTTTATGTTTATACATTCTTTTTATAGACACAAATATTTAAGTAAATGCTCTGTTTATAATAAACAGTATTAATAACATTTACCGGCCTGAATGTCCGAGAAATTTTCCTAGATAACATTCGTCCTCCGACAGGAATCGAACCTGTATCCTATACGTGATTTTTTTCTACCTTGTTCTGTGCCAGAAAGTACCTGACTCCTCCTGCTATGTTTAATCATTAAAAGAGTCAGATCAGACCAAAAATACAGTATTACTGCCTTATGTGGCCTGGAACTGTTACGACTCATTCTATCAATCCAGAAAGTACCTGGCCACTCGTGTTATGCTTAATAATTAAAAAGGGTCAGATCAGACCAAAAATTCTATCGCTCCAGAAAGTACCAGTCCCCTTCTGCTATGCTCTATCATTACAAGAGTCAGATTTGAACAAATGTGGAGTATTGCTGCCATATCTGTGCTGGAGATTTTTCGGCTCATTCTGTCAATCCAGAAAGTACCTGACTCCCCTTGGCATGCTCTATCTTTACAAGAGTCAGATAAAACCAATCATAAATATCCGTGATATCTTGCCCGCAGTAGTTCAGATGCTCAATTTTAAACCTTGACAAACTGCAAGAAAGTTTACGCTGCCTTGTGGGTGATGAACTATTTCCAACCCTACAAGACGACACATTGCTAACAACTCGCTACCTATCGCTATTTCTGGGGGAACTACATCTCCTTGTCCCAACAATCCACACACTCAAAATTAGAAACACTGATGGTACACTGGGTCGATTCATCGTCAGTCGCTTCGTATTCCATTTTAAAAGAAGTTTCACTCAGCAAGTTTATGGCCATATCACGTTGAATCACAAAAGTTAAGCAACGTCGCGCAAGGTCAGTACCTAGGTTGATGATCGCTTGGTAATACCAAGAAATGTAAGCTTGGATGTATGGGTGGTATAATGGGTAACGGCTTTTTTTTTTTTATTTTCGCTGAGCCAGTCAGGTTTGTTAACGGTGGAGTAATGGATAGCGGCTCAGATTAAGGAATCGGAGAGCCGAGTTCGAATTCAGTTCGAATCCATTACATTCACTTACGTGTTAATAACCTTGGGAAAGGTATGAATCATTTTCTCCCCCTCCGAGCTATAGGCAAATAGCAGGACATATCTGGTCTACCGCAGAAAGAAATGGCAACCTATCTGCCTCGTCAGTTATGTATCAAAATATACATGATCGCCTAAGCGTGTATCACGCATGGCACATAACTGACTGAAATGTATAGACCCATCATTTATCTCCCCCAGCTGTGGGTTAATCAGTAGATGTATCATAAATAATTTTTATGTCCTACAATGTAAAATGTTTTCTGGCTTTAAATAACCAGCAGAAAGGTTGATAAGCTGTAAAAAAAACAAAAGAAATACAATCAATGAAACCACTAAGGCAATCTCAAAATTGGTTGCGTTGTGAAAAGAGATACCCGATTTGATGTTTCCTCGTTGACTATATTAACTCTTTCAAGTCAAAAGTAAAGCGTTATGTATCAAACATATCATTATAATATACACCTCTTGCTCTATCATTATGCGCTCTTACAACCTTATTTAGTACCGGTTTACCGAGTAGATCTTAGGTTTTGTATAGGATGTCCAGTTGTATGAGAATAATCTAAATATCCAATTGTTATTACATCACATTCTGTCCAAAGACCTTGAAAATTCAAAAGAATTATCTTGCTTCTCCTTCAAGATGTTGTCATAATTTTTCAGTGCGCATTCGTATCTATACCTGTGTGTATTATAATATCAACAGTGTACGATAAAATATTTTTACCGATTTTTCGCTGCTAAAAAACCGAACTTAGACAACATTGGTCCTAATATTTCATGCGCTTTTTATGTCATCTCTCTCTCTCTCTATATATATATATATATGTGTGTGTGTGTGTGTGTGTGTGTGTGAAAAACTATGCTCTCGTTCACCAGTTGAGCACTGTGGAGAAAGGGAATTTGAACAGCTGTAGTTGCAGCTTAACACAAATCTCTTCGTCAGAATTGAGCGCTCTGGCTGCTGCATCGATAGCTAGGGGTTGAGTCTGTGACTTATGCCAAATCCGTCAAGTTTCGATCCCGGCTTGAAGCAATTAGAGTTCGTTCACCGATTGAGCACTATGCTCTTCCTTTTATATATATATATATATATATATATATATATATATATAAACTCATATCCATTCAACTAAATATGTTTCTATCACTGATATTGCGTGCTTTCCAATAAAACCACATATGTAAAATATATATAGAAATTATATATATATATATATATATATATATATATATATATATATATATATTTTAAGTTACGAAGAACTTAGTAAACCGAATGGGTAATTCCAAGGAGGATGAAATTTGAGAGCTCAATGTGAATACAGAGCTAATATTTAATGAAAAAACAGACCACTTTAAGGTACCATTACAGTAATTTATTTTAAAACAAAATTACAGCCTCTTTCGATTCACTTCCCACTCCCCGTCTCTCTTTGCCGTAACACTCATTTAGATATATCTGTATTAGTGTCGTCTGTTTCCTCTCTCCTTTCCATTTTTCCATTTCTTTTCCCCCCACTACCCTCCTATTCCTATATATCATTTCCGTTAAGTTAACCATCTGAATAGGTCACGGTTCGGTCATTCCTCCTACCCCAATATAAAGCATGCTTAATAGAAATATGAAATTAACCTCTCCCTATACTCTACCTTGTCTCGTTAACTACCACTATCACCCTCCCTGTTAAATTACAAAAATTACACTACCCATCAATTTCTAATCCCATTTTTCCTTTCATTTCATTGTTGGAAGTGTTACCTGATGATCCGGAGTCCTTTAAAAAAATTTTTGGTGAAATACGTCGTCTGTTTTTTTAAATTTATATATATATATATATATATATATATATATATATATATATATATATATATATATAGATAATATTAGTGTTTCAAATATATATATATATATATATATATATATATATATATATCAGGATTGAATGTATTTATATATATATATATATATATATATATATATATATATATATATATATATATATATTTTTTTTTTATTATTTTTTATATAATATATATTTAATTTTTTATTTATTAATTTATAATTATCTTCTTTTTTTTTTTATCTATCCGATCTTTTTCTTTTTCCTTCCATAACTTTTGCCAATAGATATCCCACTCTATGATAATAGAAGTTCGACCAGGAATGGTGAAATGTTTTAAGAGCCCGGGAACAAATTTACTCCAGGTGACCCTTGCGAACACCGGAGTCTCTTGATATTTTCGCCATAGTGAATTATTTTCTCCTTTGATCAGGATAGCATTTTTTATGTCAAAATTGTTATAATTGAACTGACCACGACTTTGACAAATTTTGAGAGGATCCTATTGAAAATAAGTAGATAAAACTTGTTCTAAATTATTCAATGAAACATGTTTTAATGAAAACATGCAGCCAAAACATACGCAATATATATATATATATATATATATATATATATATATATATATACAAAAGTGTGTGTGTGTGTGTGTATTTTAGTTGATTCTTTTTCAAGGATTTATTATCTCTTTGTAAGTTATTTAAAGCAAGAATATATTTTTTAGATTGTAAGAATTTTTTTGTCGATGATAATGGTTTAGTGATACAAGTGTTACTAATTAACCCATAGCTGGGGGAGAAGGCATTTGCGTGTAAATGAATGTAACGAACCAAATGAGAATTGGAACTCGGCTCTCCGATTAACATTTCCGAGCCATTAACCATTACACCACCCTCATATAGAGGCTTTCATCAGCTGGTATTCCTAAGCGATCACTCATCTAGGTACTGAGCAGG